GGGAATATCTAAGTCCTAAGCCTACTACTGTATGTAACCTAGATAACACTTCTCCATTTATGGTAAGGTCTAGGTTGAGTGATGTATCGCCAAACCATATCCATCCACATTTAGCCGTATTAAGCTCCGGTTGCCATTTCAAGCACTATTGTGTTACCTTGTTAAGCTCCATATTTTTCAGGTCATGTGGAGAAAATAAATATACTACTTTAAGATCATCTGCATATAGAAGGGGCTTACCCACACAAAAGCTCACAAATATCATTGATAAACACTAAAAAGAGCAAAGGAACTAAGATACTACCTTGTATTACACTACTTCTAACAGGGACAGCGTTAGACAATGAAGAGTTAATTTTAACAATTTGATGTCGATTGGTGAGAAAGGAATCAAACCAAGCTAGCAAACGATTTTGAACCCCATAAGATGCGAGCTTACCTATAAGAAGTTGGTGGCTAACCATGTCAAAGGCTTTAGAAATATCCAGATATAGCACTAAGACTAGATATCCTTGGCTACGTAGAGAATAGACTAAATCAAAGAAGTCAAAATGACATGTCATGCAAGATCGATTTTTAAAAAATCCATGTTGAGTATCACTGACAAATTTCCCAGCGAACAAACAGTTGGAAAGTTCATCACTTATAATTTTTTCTATAAGCCTAGAGATAACTGGAGTAATATTTATCGGCCGATAATTGTTCATGTCAGTCTTATCACCAGATTTGTAACGTGGTATGATGTACGCGGTTTTCCAATAGTAAGGGTAAGAACCAGTTTCCTTAGAGAGAGTAAACAGCTTTAGAAGAAGAAGTGGAATATCTAGACCACCATATTTGTAGAGAAAGGATGAAATCCCGTCTACTCCATGACCTCTCGAAAGCTTAAGGTTATTTACAGCCTTATTAATTTTCATGCATGTGAAGGAGATAGATTTTATTGAGCTGCTAGTCACGCTCATAACCCTTGAAGCAGAGCCACTTATGATTTCTACACCATTCGCAAAAATACTACTGAAAAGGTCTGCCATGGTTTTAGAGTCGTATATAAAAGTGCTATTATGCTGGATGCACGGTATATCAACATTTCGAGTTGCTTTAGTGCGTTTATTAAAAAAGGAGAGTTAAGTTTTGTACTTTCGAGTTAGTATTAAGTGCTAACAGCTCCTCATTAATGGCTTTTAACCTATGTTCCTCTTTAATTTGATTAAAAATCATTGTTATTTGTGCATCTGCTGTGAAGTCGTTTGACTTAAAATAACGATTTTGTAGGCGTTTATTACAATATTTAGTTGGTATATATAATTCGTAAGGTTTACTAAACCTGTACGTTTTAAGAGGTACACAGGAATCTAAACAAGAGTTAACGATCAGATAGAATTCGTCGATAGCATTCATGAGACTATTACATGAAAATAAGTTGTCCCAGTCTGAACGTTTAATCAGTGAATGCAGGAGGTCCCAGTCAGCATGTTTATAGTCTCTATATTGAAAGGTTTTTGGAATGGGTCGGTTATAAGAGGGATAGATAGGGAGAGCGCAAACTAATCTCTTATGGTTACTGCTTTTAAATTCATCGCATACTTTTACAGATAGTGGGATAACATCTCTACTAAATATTAAATCGAGTATACTATCGCCTCTAGTTGTGGTACGAACCCAGTGTGACCAGCAGTGCATGTTAATGGTTGCCGAGAACTCATCATTACATGACTGACAACTACCGGTAATCCAGTTAATCCCAGGATAATTGAAATCCCCAGTGATAACCTTTGCGTTAAAGTTTAGAGCAGATGCATGTATGAATGCATTGATAATAAGATCATTCCCATTATTCGAACTATCAGGAGCTCTGTATATACATCCAAGCAGTAGACTATGATTCAGGGTGTTGACTGATATCCAGACTGATTCTGGTAAACTATTCAGGACACTATCTTCAACTTTATTAGTTGTTAGGGTATCCAAAGCATGTATAATATATAAGTTTTTAGTACCAGTCTGTCAATACCCGACACATTTTTTTCAAGCAATCTTACACATGTGTAAATACATTATTCGTTCAATAGGTATACCTTGTAGTTAGCTATTCGAACAATCAATGTTTTCACTTTTTTTTAAACATTCAAACCAAAAGTCCAAACAGTCGAAACTGTTACTAATTTCAAATTGTATCTCAGATTGAAGAATGCACTGAAGGGAAGTAATCTGGACAAAATTTCTATTTTAAGATGTTTAGGCACCAAAACTATATAAACCTCTAAACATATATATTTGTTACTGAATACCATAACATGGTACATTTCACGGCAATGCACACATACCTCATGTATACGGCTAGAAAAGCTTGAAAGATTCATTTACTTCTTTTTATTTTTTTCATAATATTTACCGTTGCCTTCATAGGTGTCCTTGCTTACTAATTCATACAATTGATCCGACTAACTTCATCCTTCAAAAGACATTGGTAATAACAGTATGTTACATCATTACTTTTGCAAATTATTTACCGATAAAAAATACAGTAATAAACTGATGTAATAAAACAGACTGATATTTTATTATTGGAATCATGAACCGATCAATGTGAGACAACTATTGAGAAGCTGGAAGCACTGAACGACCATTTAGTCCTGGTATGAAACTCCTCGGTAGTCCTCGTCAACGACCCCGCATGCAGGATTCGGACCCAGAACTTTCGGTCTCGCTCACGAACATTTAACCTTTAGACCACTGAGACGGAATCTAATGGTGTTGATGTGAAGTTCAAACCAATCCACGATGTTGATGCGTTCAGTCTCTACAACCCCAAACTAAATAAAATATTTGGTCTTTATAAAAAACGTTTATTCTTGTCACTACAAAAACTGCAAATCATTCCGAGAACTACATAAATTTATACATATCGTTACTATTTTATTATTGATTGTCAGTCAGTGATCTTGAGTGCTGTTCGATGGCTGTTATCACTTTCTGTGTAAGGGTTTTTCTTAAGGTACCTAAAAAAGAAAATTGGGTTGTGGTCATAATGACCTGAGAGCGTGATCAGAGTGTCAAAGGAAAAACTGTCTGAGGTCGGTCACACACGACCATTTTGTGAGTAATTTTCATGCTAGCTCCGTACTTGTTGAAACCTTACCACCGGAGATGGAAATCCGTGAGATAAGACGAGGTGTACATTTTTAGGATCAACCTTTTCTAACCCAAATCTTCCTTGTGGGAAGGCTAATCGCTGTTATGCTGGTTGTCTGAAGGAAACAATTTACTACCACCACACTTCTGTACAGTCAACAGTATGACTTCATCCTCGGACCTTGGATTTGCGGCTTTTAGTCTTACCTTTCTTCAACCGACCTTTCTGGCATGATAGGGCCTTAAGGGACGATTGTTTCAGCCAGTATAGCTCGATTGGTTCATTACGATTGGCAAGCCCTCACCACCACATCGAGGTAGCAGCAACGGTTGGGATTAATGATTGTACTTAAAATTATATGTAGATATACATAACATTCACTAAATAAAATAAATATTATTTAAATAACTTTTTGTTGAATCAATAACATTAAATCAATTTTTTATTTTAGATTATATTCATGATCCACTTGATATTGTTTTTACTTGAATCTTCCCATTGATATTTTAGGACTGAAATTGATCAGTCTCTTATTAGCATATGTGCATACTGTGCGTATGCCTCGATATTGCCTTAATTTACAAGCATTATAAGCAAAGATGGATAGTGACTAACAGTGGAATTCAGGATGCGCGTTTCATCCTGTTTGGGACTCGTCAGCTGGATGGACCTGCATCTCAGAGTTGATGTTCACTCTGCGACTCGAACCCAGAGTGAACATCAACTCTGAGATGCAGGTCCATCCAGCTGACGAGTCCCAAATAGGACGAAACGCACGTCGAACTGGATTCCACTCCTAGCCACTATCCATCTTTGCTTATATTCATAATCGTTTGTATTGTATACCCTAGTCACACAAATCTAACACCAATCGACGGTCGATATTAATTTATCTAAGGAAAACTTACCACACAAAATGTTTAATGTAAATTTGAATAAATTTTCACTAATTGACAGTTGAGTCGAATAATTCATTATGTGCAATTATACGAATATACAGAGTAGTCGAAATCGCAAACATTTTCTGGAACTTTAAACAGAGTAAGTGAAAATTTTATTGATGTATTGATATGTCTTGTTGTTTGGAAACTACCTTTATATCTGGTCGTCGCTGATTGTTGTGTTGGAAACACTTATCACTTATACTCGGGTAGAGGGACTTTTGAAATTCCCACAATTCGAAAGTAAGAACACAAAGAGTGGTATAATTGAAGCTTTATTAACCCTCAATACACGATGACGACCCTAGTCGACAATACACTCATTTTGATTAATAATTAGGATTAAATCACATAAATGAGTTTGGTGATTTAACCTGAATCATCAGAAAGATATTATGAACAACGTTTGGAATGTTTAAGATTATCTTCATGAAAGGTATCGATTTCAATCAATATAATGATTTTACTAATAGGTATCCAATTTCATATCATCGAACCATGTAAATAAGCACTGAAAGATGGATGACGAATATCATCTTGTTTTTACCATATTCTTCTTTGATCGTAAAGGCAGTACCGCCATTCTGACACTATTCTATAGGGAACTGCATTTGGTAAGGTATCAGTCATACATTTATGTTACCTAAATTAAGGGGAATTTAGAGCTTGCTTTCTTCTGGTCAAGTGAGATTACCAAACGAGATCAGCAGTGTTACAAAATCTTAGGATGATCTTTCCAGATACTCATTTCATTCATTCTACTTTGCAGGCCAAATCATGCAGCAAAATAGATCCCAAGAGTTCATTTCCTCAAGGGTGTAATACAAATATTATTTTACTTGACAGCGAAATATTCATCGTTACACTAAATAACTTTAAAACACTAAGTCCATCAAGAAACTGTTCTGTCGTAAAAAATCATGAAAATGAAATTTGTATTAAAGGCACTAGATACTAGATATATCTTATCTCGTATCGCTGTTGTGCAATTACGTAGTACAGACATACATTTTCTTTGTATTATTTTGCTTGGTAATTCAAGATTCCCTTATTAAAGACTGTCTTAAAATAGCTATTTGCTTCTCAAAGACCAGGGAATTCGGTCAATGATATTGTCTTTTACAATAATTTTATTTGAGCAAAACTGAATAAGATCAAAATTTTTAAAACATTAAAATATCCTCATGTTAAATCCTAATTCAGTCATCCCCATGCCACAACAAAATAACTAATCAATGCTTCCTGCTTTCTAACGTTTGTTTAACTAGAAATAGTATGTGATGTAAACAACCAAGAACCATTAGTTTATTAAATTGCCTAATATGCAAGACAGTACCCAGCCAACATAGATATATTTAACCAACGACAACACCCCAATATCTACTGACTGCCAATTTTCATAAGGATGCTCTTTACTTGTCATTAATCATTTCGTTATTGAAGTTATTACGATCCAATCTTCATACTTATTGAAGAATCTACAAAATCTTGTCAACTTTAAATAATTTTCTTAACCAAATTAGTTATTTATTAAATAATATCTACTGAATTTATTTCAATAAGGATGACAATCAGTTTCTTTTTGCTTTCCAGATACTACTTAAACTGATAAAAATACATTTTAATTCATTACATGAAACAAGTTTACAATTGATGAATCACTGGTTTCAATTGTTTCCTATCATTCTCTTTCCCCCACCCCCCGCAATCTTTCTCTTTCCTCCACTTACTTTTCAACATAACTCTCTGTATTCTATTTTCTCACAAGAATCATGTTGTTGTTGTTGTTGCTATTTTTCCCTTTTCTAAAATACACCAACTGGATATATATTTTATTCTTTCTTTTTGTTGTTATTGCAACAATAGTAGAAGTTTCTTTCTGTTCAATAATTCAAAAGAAAAAACCAAACAAACGCACATATACATACACACACACACACACGCAAATAAGGGAAACAATGGCATGTCAGGAAATCAAATTTAGGAAAAAAAGTTATAAAGTCGATCGTCTCTTCAAATGATTCAAACACAAATGTATATTGAACTAACATGGAAGAAAAAAACAATTTTTTTCCATCTTTAAATCACCATGCGTTTTCCTTATTTTTCATGCTTTTTTGTTTGTATTTCGTTTGTTTTATTTTATTTTTTTTTTGTTTTCAGAAATATGATTGTCAGAATATGCTAATCAGGATTAATTCATTTGAGAATGATTTGTCCATTTAATTTTATATATGTAAATAAAACATCATTTATCTACTAAATAGTATTTTATAGTTTATTATATTAATCATAAAGGGGACTAAATATTATTACTATTATTATATAATCAAAAAGATTACTAACGAAATCCTGTTGAGTAATGGCATTTCCCAAAGGATTTATATATTTTTCCCCATATATATATATGTATAAATATCAAAACTATAGCCAGACAATAGTTAAATTAAACAACAGTTAAGTAAACGAACAAACATATCTATATAAATATTTTTATCTTATGAATAAGTTTAGTCGAGGAGAAATCAAAAAGATTTTATGATTATATAAATCTAACAAATTGTAAGTTGAAACAAATATTTCATCATCATCATCATCATCATCATCATCATCATCATCATCATCATCATCATCATCATCATCATCATCATCATCATCATCATCATCATCATCATCATCATCATCATCATCATCATCATCATCATCATCATCATCATCATCATCATCATCATCATCATCATCATCATCATCATCATCATCATCATCATCATCATCATCATCATCATCATCATCATCATCATCATCATCATCATCATCATCATCATCATCATCATCATCATCATCATCATCATCATCATCATCATCATCATCATCATCATCATCATCATCATCATCATCATCATCATCATCATCATCATCATCATCATCATCATCATCATCATCATCATCATCATCATCATCATCATCATCATCATCATCATCATCATCATCATCATCATCATCATCATCATCATCATCATCATCATCATCATCATCATCATCATCATCATCATCATCATCATCATCATCATCATCATCATCATCATCATCATCATCATCATCATCATCATCATCATCATCATCATCATCATCATCATCATCATCATCATCATCATCATCATCATCATCATCATCATCATCATCATCATCATCATCATCATCATCATCATCATCATCATCATCATCATCATCATCATCATCATCATCATCATCATCATCATCATCATCATCATCATCATCATCATCATCATCATCATCATCATCATCATCATCATCATCATCATCATCATCATCATCATCATCATCATCATCATCATCATCATCATCATCATCATCATCATCATCATCATCATCATCATCATCATCATCATCATCATCATCATCATCATCATCATCATCATCATCATCATCATCATCATCATCATCATCATCATCATCATCATCATCATCATCATCATCATCATCATCATCATCATCATCATCATCATCATCATCATCATCATCATCATCATCATCATCATCATCATCATCATCATCATCATCATCATCATCATCATCATCATCATCATCATCATCATCATCATCATCATCATCATCATCATCATCATCATCATCATCATCATCATCATCATCATCATCATCATCATCATCATCATCATCATCATCATCATCATCATCATCATCATCATCATCATCATCATCATCATCATCATCATCATCATCATCATCATCATCATCATCATCATCATCATCATCATCATCATCATCATCATCATCATCATCATCATCATCATCATCATCATCATCATCATCATCATCATCATCATCATCATCATCATCATCATCATCATCATCATCATCATCATCATCATCATCATCATCATCATCATCATCATCATCATCATCATCATCATCATCATCATCATCATCATCATCATCATCATCATCATCATCATCATCATCATCATCATCATCATCATCATCATCATCATCATCATCATCATCATCATCATCATCATCATCATCATCATCATCATCATCATCATCATCATCATCATCATCATCATCATCATCATCATCATCATCATCATCATCATCATCATCATCATCATCATCATCATCATCATCATCATCATCATCATCATCATCATCATCATCATCATCATCATCATCATCATCATCATCATCATCATCATCATCATCATCATCATCATCATCATCATCATCATCATCATCATCATCATCATCATCATCATCATCATCATCATCATCATCATCATCATCATCATCATCATCATCATCATCATCATCATCATCATCATCATCATCATCATCATCATCATCATCATCATCATCATCATCATCATCATCATCATCATCATCATCATCATCATCATCATCATCATCATCATCATCATCATCATCATCATCATCATCATCATCATCATCATCATCATCATCATCATCATCATCATCATCATCATCATCATCATCATCATCATCATCATCATCATCATCATCATCATCATCATCATCATCATCATCATCATCATCATCATCATCATCATCATCATCATCATCATCATCATCATCATCATCATCATCATCATCATCATCATCATCATCATCATCATCATCATCATCATCATCATCATCATCATCATCATCATCATCATCATCATCATCATCATCATCATCATCATCATCATCATCGTCATCTGGAGCAGCAACAGCAGTGCCATTTTATTTTAATGTTCTGAGCGTAATATGTCAAAATACATCAATAAACTTTGAATTTGAATTTTTTAGATTGTTTGCTAACTTTTTTCTTTTCTTTAAAGATCATTAAAAAATTGTTTCATTTTATATATTTTATTTGATTCAGAATGTTAGTAATGAAATGTGTTTGAATGTTTCAAAAAAATTCAAATTATTGTTTGAGGATTAATAGTTCAATGATCTAGACAAATCTAGAGAATACCATTAGTTCTTACTTATATGTGCTCAATTATATGAAGGAACGATTAATCAAATTAAATATTGAATGAATAAATATACCAGTACATCTTCATTTTAACATTTACGACAGATCTATGTAATCCAGTTTATCACTTTTCTTAATTCAGTTAATTATAAGTTTAGATTGATATCATAAATGGATCAATGTTAGACCACAATTGAAAACCTGAAAGTACTAGCCGGCCTTTGTGACTTCAAGATGGATTTTCATGGAGTTCTAGTGAGAAACTGTGATCAGCGTAATTCAATTGGGTAAGCTGTGGAGCACTTACTAACTGGAGACAATGGTGGACGGTTGCACAATATCGCGAATTTATTGAAGTTAAAGATTAACGCCGTTGAATATCGGCTCAGTGGTCTAGAGGTTAAGTGTTCGCCCGCAAGACCTAAGGTTTAAGGTTTGAGTTCTGAGCGCGGGATCATGGATGCGCACTCCTGAGGAGTCCTATACTAGGGTGAAACAGCCGTTGTGTTTCCAGGTTTTCAATGGTGGTCTAACAACAATCCATTCATTATATCAATTTAAACTCAACAAACTTCACAACCCTATACTAATAAACATAGGTTTGCTTGAGGATAAATTGTTTTTAAAATGGCACAGTGTTTAATCCACCATAGAAAAAAAGGATTTATACATTCATTGTTATTATGTTTCACTGTCCATATATTCAGGTTACAAATAACTCACACAGTAACTTATTTTTGACTGTTAAGCTTCACGAAAAGTATCTAAATAATGTAATTATATTTGGAAGATAAGTAATATGATTACCATTTACACTGCAACAGCGATGGACAGCTACGATTGTGGATTTAATAGGGATATATCTATCTTTAAAATATAACCATATTTATATTCCACATGGATTTACTTTATAAGCAATTAAAATAAGCTGGTTTGAAATTCCACTCATTATTGTTGCTAATTTACTTACAAAGGATTATTTAACTATATTAATTTTTGTTGTTGTTGATAACTTTGCCCTACATTTCATCATTAATTAACAAACAAAAAACAATCCATTCATTTGAAAATTTCATCGAATTTAGGTCATTAGTGTGATCATTATTTTGTTTGAGTTTATAAAAAAATAAATTCAAAATTAATATCAGATGGGTTTTATGGATATTATGGTAATTTCAATGGTTAAGATCATGAGTCAGTTGAAGCTAGACCACCATGGAAAACCTGAAAGCACTGGACGACCGTTCCGTCCTACTGTGGGACTTCTCAGCAGTGTGCATTAACGAACTGCCTCATGATCTTAACCATTGAAATTACTATAATATCCACAAAACCCATCTGATATTAATCAACATATGCTCACTAGTGACTGACTTCAAGAGGTTTATCCTGGAGTTCTAGTGAGAAGTAGTGACCAGTGAAGTTCAACCAGGTCTGTTGTGAGATAGTAAATTACTGAAGACAATGGTGGGTGTGTCGCTCAATTTCATGGATTAGTTGAAGTTAGATATTAACACCGTTGGATGCCGGCTCAGTGGTCTAGTGGTTAAGTGCTCGCGCGCGAAACCAGTAGGTCCTTGATTCGAATCTCACAGGAGGCGCGGTCGTGGGTGCACACTGCTGAGGAGTCCCATTATAGAACGAAACGGCCGTCCAGTTCTTCCAGGTTTTCCATGGTGTTCTAGCTTCAACTGACTCATGATCTTAACCATTGAACCTACGAAATTAATACCCATAAAGGTTTGAATCTTCTGAATTAATCACAGAAATAACTTGATTGATAGAATTCATTCACCGTGAAATAACTAAATAAACATGAAAATAATCTCTGATTAGTGATCAATCAGTTAATAAGTATGTAAGTTCTACATTTAATACATTTGAAGTCCAAATAGTCTAGTGGTAGCGATTAACACTGTGAATTTCTACTTAATTTAAAATACATTTCGTTGACGAGTAACAAATAGAACGGAATGCAAACTTAGAGTTTACTGTAGACTACCTTCAGTTATGTAAAAAAGTACTGTTATGTTTAAAATAAACTATTACTTGCTTGCTTACTTGCCTACAATGTACACCGACAAATTTGATTGACTATAGAAAAGAATGACTGTTGTGTAAAAGCATAATAATAATAATATAGTCCTGAGCGGAAACGGAAAAGAGGAAGGACAAATAACAGATTACGCTGGGAAATCGAAACAAATATGAAAAGAAGGAATAACCACTAGAAACAACTAAAAAGGATTGCCCAGGACAGGGTTGGATGGAGAGTGCTGGTAGGCGGCCTATGCTCCTTCACGAAGACTAACAGGTGTAAGTAAGTAAGTCGTTTAACATGAGTGATAAATAGGAGAACATGTAGAAAATATGAATAACATTAAGCATTAAAACATAAGTAGTATATGTATAGAGTTATTATACACAGGTAGGTGATAAATTAACAAAACAAGAACTCATTTTAATTTAGTTAAAAGTAATCAAATTTTATTTTCAAATTATTATGAAGCTAAAGACACGTGAATAATTATTTAGGGTCAATCTAATTAAACTTCTGGGCAAATGATAATTAAGATAAAATCTAGATCATTCAATTCTTTAAAGTTTACCTACATCTTGTTTATTCTTCAGTATAATCCAACAAATGACACTTGAATGATATTAGTCTTGTTCCTAATCATGATAAGTCACAAGAATATATTTCAGTTCAGTATATAAATATAACATTGATAACATTTAAGGTTAACAAAATTCAATATATTTTTTAGATAAATAACATTACAGTCAACATATAACAAGAACAGTATCAGAGAATAATGTCACTGTTTTCAGTAAAAAAAAAAAAAAACAATTTAAGTATTTGGCACATATGGCTAACTTGGTCAAACTCAACTAATGTAATGTATTAAGTAAACAAGAAGTGAAATAAAAAAGTGAATAGTCGAAAAGTGTTTAGTGGGGTCACTAAAGTGGTGAGCTCGCAGACGACGAACCTAATGCAGCAAGCTACATCGATGAAGGAACTTCTGCGCCCCATACTTTCGACGAACAAACTCAGCGAAGATAGCTCAATCTCTAGTCCGACGCATTCAGCAAAGCCTGTGCAGCATGACATGGAAATGCTAAAATCGTATTTTTTTATCAATACTTTGTCCTCACGTCAACTCTTCTCATTAATCCATCCGGCGTATCATTTGATCATGATTCAAACAATTATCATAGTCCCATTAACACATTAGTATTATGTCGGGCTCACCACTTTTTGTGTGGTCCTTCATTTTTTACATAAATCAGATCAGACGATGTTATCGACGGGCTCACCACTATAATGGCCCCTATACCTGACTTACGTGCCTTGAGGGCCACCATATTGGTCAAAATGAAGGGCCATAAGTGACACATAGAAAATGGATACCCAAAGAAATTTACTGTGAAATACAAAATGACTATTCGACAGGTCATTAACACAAACATTTCATTAAAAAAGAAATATTGTTTTCGTGGATTATACTTTCAAAGTATACGAGAATTAAAGAGGTAATGAGTAGTAGCTTTTCTGTAGATCACATCTTGTTTAATCTAGTACGTGATATTTTTATTACGATCTAGGTACTTACATGTTTTTACTATGATTATTGATTATAATGTTACCTGTACTACATTTTGTCTAGTGTTTTCCAGCATAAAAATATACATCAGTTTTGATTATTCAACTTTATATTTCTCATCTTTTTTCTTGACTTGTGATACTTTTTATCTTTCCAGTTTTCGATCCTAACCCTTACCAATTAGAATCCGTGTCGGGTGGAAAGAGTTATCTACTTCATAAAATATATGAAAGGTTGCACAAGATCACAGATTGATTGAAGTTACACATTAACACCGTTGAATGCCGGTTTAGTGATCTCGAGATTAAGTGTTCGGGTGCAAACTCGTGGTTTTGCATTCGAATCTCGTGTGTAGAATTTTGGGTGCTAACTTCTGAGGAGTCTCATTATAGGACGAAACGGTCGCTTTCAGGTTTTCTACGGGTGGTCTAGCTTAGATCAGCTGATCGACTAAACTAATAAAATCACTAAAATCTCCACAAATCCCTATTATGATAATTAAAATATATCATGCGCTTATTAAAATTCATTTTATAACTTTATCTACAGCTCATAAGAAGCCTTGAAATTGGGTGATTTCATTTTATATCAATAATTTCATTATTTTCGCACTAACATACTAACTTTAATGAAGTAGCTAGTTTCACTATTCAGTTTAAATTTAGGTGTTATACAATATATTGAACATAGAAAATTAACTCATTTTCTATAATAGAAGAGAAAGCTTTTAACTTAACACATTAATCACTATTACTGAGTGTACTATAAAGTTATTTTAAACTTAAGAATGCAAGTAGGCGTGTACACTTTCACCAAAAAATCTTAATGTGTTGTAAAAGTTATGAATTAGAGATTGTATGTATTGAAAGTCGGATAAATAAACAACGTAACTAATAACAACGAATTTTCTATCCACTCTGAGTGAATATTATCAGGTAAATTATATTAATGAACTTTAACTTATGTGATATAAATTGTAATTATGAAAATATAAGAGTGGTAGCCTTGATATGGTAGTTTCAAATGAGTGTTAACGGCTGTTTCGTTCTAGTATGGGACTCTTCAACAGTGTGCATCCATGATCTACGCTCGCGGGATTCGAACCTAAAACCTATAGGTCTCTCGCATGGACACTTAAAATCTACACCATTGAGACGGCATCTGATGGTATTAATGTCTAGCTTCAACCTCGCCCCCCCGCAAGATTCGAACCAAGGACCTACTGGTTCCGCGCGCGAGCACTTAACATACTGGACC